CCCCAAAACCCCAAAACCCCAAAACCCCAAAACCCCACCTTAAAAATGCATAAATGAATATTCTTACGACTGTTTATAAATTTAATATCTAGAAATGGGAAGTACTATTTCCAATTGTTGCCAATTAGATAGGGAAGGAATTAGTCCTTACCAAAAATCTTATCTACATCCTGATAACTCTCGTACATCATCCAAACGTTTAGGCATGGATGGGGGAAAGAAGCACGTACGTTTTGTTGAGAATAAGAAATCCACAGCGGAATTAAGGCCTTCCTGTGATGATTCTCCTCAAAGAGGAAATTTTTCAAGGATGGCTGGCCCTTCCTCTCCCACAAAGAATTGTACTAACAATGGATGAGAGGATGGTACTGTCACTTTCCAACCCCCTACGTCTGAGCTAAATCCTTCTTTTATCAAACATGTTAAAGATATTAGATCTATTTTCGTATTTGATAAAAAGATAGGAGATGGGAAATTCGGTACAGTTTTCCTAGCTCACCCCAAGAATGACTTGAAGGCCCAGGTAGCTATCAAGTTGATTCCACAAGAGTCCTTTTCGCACAGGATAGAAAAGGAGCTGCTCTTGCTGAAAAGTATTAAACACAGAAATGTGATACGATACATTTCGGCCTACAAAGACAATAAATATTATTACATTATCACTGAGCATTGTGAGGGAGGAGAGCTATTCAAAAAGATCGTGGATCAAGGGTGCCTTGACGAGCTTGAAGCATGCAATATCATCAGTCAATTACTTAAAACTATTAAGTTTCTTCATGATAACGAGATTTGTCACAGAGATTTGAAACCAGAAAACATACTATTCAAAAGAAAGGGTGATAATAGAATCAAACTTATTGATTTCGGTCTGAGTAAGCAACTGAAGAAGGGAGAAATCATGCTCAAGAAACTTGGAACTCCGTACTACCTTGCTCCTGAAGTTCTAGAAGAGAGATATGGAAAAGAAGTCGATCTCTGGAGTCTTGGGGTAGTGACATATGTTGTACTCTGTGGTTATCCCCCATTTTATGGAGAGGACGCAAAAGAGCTTTTTTCAAACATTTATTACGTCAACTATGACTTTGCAGAAGAAGATTGGTGTTTCATCTCAGATGAAGCAAAAGATTTTATTTCCAAGTTATTAGTGAAGAATCCTCAAGAACGTCTTTCGATAGATCAAGCTTTGAAGCATCCTTGGATCTTGTCAAATATTACTGAACCAGAAAGTAGTGTTAGGCATGAGCTTACTTCAAATCACTCAGACGTACATCCTTGTGACAAAAAGGTGCTTGATGTCACCACAGAGGCCTTTAGTAAGAGCTCAGAATGCGCCACACTTGACAGTTATGAAAGGTCTCTAGTTGAATTATTTTAGAAGAAGGCACCCTGTCACTAAGCACTAATTTTTGGTGAATGGCAGGAAAAGTATGGACTCAGTATTCCTTTTCAAGGGTTTCTCATTCAAGTATGCCACCTGTACCCAGATTCATCTCTATTACTGGTCATGTAACAACCGTGTATTAGAGAGGTGTCTAGTGAGGTGGATGTACATCTAAATATCAAAGTTTAAACCAATTTCAAACAGTAATTTGACTAATTCAAATTAGTCATAAATCGAATTGGTTTTGACCCTTGGGACATGGACACTGAGTCCTTCAGAGCCTTTACAAGGCTAATATCAAAATAATTAACACATCATTTTCATGAGGAATTGTTGTTCTTTTCAAAAATTGATAATTCTATAATAAACTTACATGAAGGGGTTTTGGGGTTTTGGGGTTTTGGGGTTTTGGGG